AAAAAAAAAAAAAAAATCCAGAAACAACAAAGTCAGTCATGAAAATATGCTTGAATATTTGAATGTTTGTGATTTCTAGGCAACAAAAAGATTAAACACAATGTCAAAGGTTAAGAATTAGGTATACTACACTTACCGAGAAAGACTACAAGAAACAGGCATATCTCCACTCCAGTCAATCGGTCCATTTTCTGCTTTCTGTACTCCAGATATTGCACCAGAAGGCTTTCCAGTGATAATTTTATACCTTGAGAGGAACAGAATAAGGTAAGCGGGTCATTACTACATGGCCTATCAATGAACTCTGTAAAAGTATTTCCTGAGTTGCACCTAAAATCATCTACTAGAGCCAACTTTGTGATTGATGATCACAGGATCCATCACACAGTCAAAGCACTTTGAATCTGACTGACTGAAGTGAAAAGTAGTTGTAATAGTACTTTATGTCATAAGTCATCTATATGTTATAACTAATGTATACAACATAGCTCATCTATACATCATAACTGATCTATGTCAGTTATAACTACTCTATGTCATAACTCATCTCTGTCATAACTAATCTATATGTCATAAATCATCTTTATGTCATAACTAGTCTACCTGTCATAACTCATCATCTACAGGTCATAACTCATCAATGTCAGTTATAATATCTATGTCATAACTCATCTCTGTCATAACTAATCTATATGTCATAACTCATCTTTATGTCATAACTAGTCTACCTGTCATAACTCATCATCTACAGGTCATAACTCATCAATGTCAGTTATAACTAATCTATTTCATAACTCATCTCTGTCACTGCTCATCTATACATCATAACTCATCATCTATATACCATAACTAATCTATACATCATAACTCATCCATATATCATAACGCATCTGTCATAACTCATCACCTATATGTCATAACTCATCTATATGCCATATGTCATAATTAATCTGTATGTCACAACTCATTTTCATGTGGGAGCCCAGAGTGCCAGGAACAGCATTTTGATGCTCACAACAAAAAACATTAATTTTCCATCTGAAAAAATGGGACAAACACACACTAAAAAGCTTTGTCACTGAACTCTCTCCAGTACAGAAAATGTACCTAGTCTTTTTTACCCATATTACCACAGTCAAGCAGACTATACAGTTACTACAGAATGACCTGTAGAATTATTTGTTTTAAAGAAGGGAGATAAAACTATACAAAGCACAGTATCAGAAAAATCCTCCTCATAGTCAAAAGGTAACAGAGGTGTAGGAATAGATGTGCTAAAATGAAAAGCCAAACTGATGAGAGAAACTGTGATATAAAGCCAGATGTGAGCCAAACTGTGATATAAAGACAGATGAGCAGAAGCTGGGCTGGCTGGGGAAGCAGGGACAATGAGGATGTGGTAGGTCAGGGCAGTGGGGCCCCTCTCCATCTCAGACATGCTGTGCCTTTAAGAACACTGTATCTGCACGAAAGCATTCTGCATCATTCAGCAGCATTCTATAGCCAACTGGCCCTGTCTCTGTCTGATCATTTTTAGTTTATCATCTAAACAAATGTGCTCTAAGAAAAATCAACTTTTTGTTTTCTTTTTTTAAAAAAAAAAAAAAAAAAAAAAAAAAAAAAAAAAAAAACTAGACCAATCAGTAAGACAGATGCAGACTGCTGCTTCCTCCACAGAGGCAGCCATAACTTCTAGTTCAAAGGATGTTTTAAGGGGCTGGCAAGATGGCTCTGAGGTTAAGAGCATTTGCTGTTCTTCCAGAGGTCCTGAGTTCAATTCTCAGCAACCAAATGGTGGCTCACAACTATCTGTAATTAGATCTGGTGCCCTCTTCTGACCTGCAGGAATATATGCTGCAGGCAGAACACTGTATACATAATAAATAAATCTTAAAAAAAAGAGAGATGTTTTAAAATAAAGAAATTAGCTAGACAGTGGTGGCACACACCTTTAATCCCAGCACTCAGGAGGCAGAGGCAGGTGGATGTCTGAGTTCAAGGTTAGCCTGGTCTACAGGACCAGTTCTAGGACAATAGCCAGAGCTAGACAGAGAAACCCTGTCTAAAAAAAAAAAAAACCCAAAAAAAAACCCAAAAAAACCCCAACTCCCCCCAAAAAACCAAACAACAACAAAAAAAGAATTTAATGTTAAAAATAAGGTGTGTTCACATGTGCTGGATCTAATTATGGAGGAGTAAATGGAGATGCGAAATTAATGCAAAAATGAGTGAAGAGAATTATTGACAGCATCACTATGGTATGCAAATTCTTCAAGAAGTTTCATTTTTATAAGATTCACTTGTAAACATTAATCATGTGCAAATTTGATTAAGGAGCAACATAGCTGTAATGGGAGGAGCATACCACTCACCAATACAGCCCAACAGTCATTCACAATGACACCGCACCACCACACATTGCTAGCAGGTGAGTGAGTTTCTACACAAATAAAGACATTCCAGTACTGTGTAACTCGCAAAGAGGTGAGTTTCTACACAAATAAAGACATTCCAGTACTGTGTAACTGCCCAGTGTGACCATGCAGTCACTGGTGGCTTGTGAATCATGTTTCCTTTCGTACAAGCTGCACACTTTAATTTCCATCCACTGTTAGAGCAGCAAAAGGTGTCTCTGCTTAAAAAATGTATCTGAAAATAGAAGTATGTAACTGTCAGGTACAACTTATATTTAATGAGGAAACAAAAGGAGACTTGGTCTTTGCTAAAGGAGAGTTTTAATACAAAGGGCACTGTTGTAAAGTAGGCTTAGCTGACACCGAAACATCTTACTGCAATTAGTGGACGTCTTCTCTAATGTACAGATACACATGGAGTATTTCACAAGCATTCGTGCAGATGTTCAAGCTTTAGCAAAAGCACTGTACTATCTGAATTTCTTTTATTTACTTCCTGAAATCAACAAAAGGAAAGTATGCTTCTTCCTGAATTTTCTGAGATGAAATGAAAGGCTCTAACTTTATACTTGTGGCTACTCAGAATGACATACACATAGGAAAGGTGGGGATGGTGGGTGGGTACACACATAATTCCAGCACTCAGGGAGCTGGGGGAGAAGGTTTTGATAATTCCTTTTAAAATGAAACCAAACACAGTGTGCTGGCTGGCTCTTGTCATCTTGACACAAACCTAGACATATCTGGGAAGAGGAAATCTTAACAGAGAAAATGCTTCTCCACACATTGGCCTACAGAAAAATATATAAGGCATTTTCTTGATTAATGATTAATAAAGGAGGGCTTAGCCCATTGTGGGTGGTGTCAATCCTAGGCAGGTGGTCCTGAATGGTTAAGAAAGCAGGTTGAGCAAGCCACAAGGAGAAAGCCAGTGAGCAGCACACTCCTTGGCCTCTGTATCAGCTCCTGCCTCCAGGTTTCTGCCTTGAGTTGCTGCCCTGATTGCTGGGATGATGAACTACAATTGTAAGATGATAACTCCCCCGCCCCCCAAGCTGCTTTCAGTCTTGGTGTTTTATTACAGCAACAGAGAGACCCTAACACACACAGTGTACAGATGAATTACGTAAATTTCACTCCAGAAATTTTGTAATTTTTTCCTTGATTTTTTTTGTTTACTATTAGTGACTTTGTGGATTGTTCATTTCTCCAACAGTATGACAGCATATAAATGTATACAATGGTATGGGGCTAGAGAGATGCCTGAGCAGTTAAGAGCACTGACTGCTCTTCCAGAGGACCTGGGTTTAGTTCCCAACATCAACATGACAGTTTACAACCATCTGAACTTCAGGTACAGGCAAACTTCTGGGCTCTTCAGGCACCAGGTACACAGACATACAGGTAGGAAAACACTTATAAAATAAAAATTAAAAAATGTAAATGTATATTACACTACTGAAATGCTTTATCTCTGGATGGAACCTGCAACAACAGGGAAAAAAATATTACTGCCAAAATGTCATTTTTAAGATGGCTAACCAGAGCAGGGTTGTGGTGGTGCATGCCTTTAATCCTAGCACTCGGGAGGCAGAGGCAGGCGGATCTCTGTGAGTTCGAGACCAGCCTGGTCTACAAGAGCTAGTTCCAGGACAGCCTCCAAAGCCACAGAGAGACCCTGCCTTGCAAAACCAAAAAAAAAAAATTTTTTTTCTTTGATTCTATTTCTCTACAGAAATATATATGAAAATAAGGAAATGAAATGCGCTGAAGTAAAATTTAGAAGACATGTATGTAACAAGACTAGATACTATTTATACTTTGTAGACATTTAAATATGATTTGGAAAACTGTGCTAATACTCTTAGAAAGCTGCATTCTTAGTAAAATCTAGGTAGCATCAAGTATCAGAAAAAGGAATTTTCATCAATTTCATTTCCTCAAACATGGAGAAACAAGATAATATACATTAAAAAACTGTTTCTCACTTTAGATAGAGAAACCACTTACATCACTTCTTTATTCCTACGAGGCCCTTCAAAGGGTCTAAATGGCAGGGATCCAGTAGCTGCATGGTAAAATGTCACTCCAATACTCCAAAGGTCAACTGTAGCCCCGTATTTCTTCTGATGATCTTTTCTTAGTACTGCTCTCTCATACATGTCAGGGTGCTGAGACAGAAAAGCATTATGAACTTACGACTTACTTAATATAAAACAACAACAAAAAAACTAGTGCTCAACAGTGCTAGAAGTCCCATCACATTTTCCCAATAATCTCCCTTTCCTGCTCTTGAAAGGCTGTTTTGTCCAAGCTGGGCAGATGCTCAGTGAGTGAAGTGCTTGCTGCTCACACCTGAGGATCTGAGTTCAAATCACAGCAATGACCATAAAAGGGTGGGCAAGGTGGAACATACCTATAACCCCAGAGCTGGGATGAAGATACAGAAGGATCCTGGGTCTTGCTGATCAGTCAGTCTAGCCAATTGTTGGGGTCCTGGTCCAGCAAGAGACCATGTGAAGATCAACAGCTGGAGATATTTAACCTTGACCTCTGATCTCTACAAACACACTTGGGTGTACCCCTCAAAACTGAGGGAAAAACAAGGCAAAAGGCTGGCATAACTTCCCCTGTTACCTTATACTTCTGATACCATTTTGTTTGGCCCTCAGATTTCATGACCTCAGCCGGAGAAAGCTGACAGAATCAGATCAACTCTCCTTTAGGACCCTTCCAAACACGGACTCACTTAGTGAACCTGTGTGTCTGTCATGCCCATTGTCCTGTTACAAACTTACTCCTATCAAACACTAACTTTGCATTTGTGCTACGCCATCATGTGACCTCACCAATTCCAGAAATCAGTTCGTACTTACTATTATCCCTTTTATTTTTATAATCAGTATTCCTCTCTTTACTGGGTCATTCATCTCTGCTTAAAAATGTCTTCCATTTAAGAAACTCAATCAAACAAATAACAACATAAACATTCTGGCCAAGGTGGTATGTGTTCATAATCCCAGAGTTGGGAAGGGAGAGACACAGGCTAATGTCAGACTCCAGGTCAGTGAAACACTGTCTCTAAGGAGATGGACAGTATTTATCCTTGAGGATGGCACAGGAGGTTGTCCTACAGTCTTCACCTATACCCACCACCTATTCGCACACATAAACACATGAAAGAATGTGTGTATGTGTACACAAGTGTACACACACACACACACACACACACACACACACACACACGCGCGCGCGCCAACACCATTATCACACTGCTCTTCAGGGGTGCAGTGGTCACTTGTAATCCCAGCTCTCAGGAAGTAGAAGCAGATTACAGCTCAAGGCTGGCCTTAGCTATATATCGAGGTTGAGACCGTCCTTTGTTACACTAAACACCGACCCCCAAAACAAACAGAAGTGTTAATAAACCCTGGGCTGGAGAGATGGCTCAGTGCGTAAAGGTGCCTGTAGACCAAGTCTGATGACCCGAGCCCAATCCCTGGGACCAACATGGTGAAAGGAGAGAGGTGGACTACCACAGCTGTCCTTTGACGTCTACAGGGGTGCTATAGCACATGCATGCCCCTCCCCAATAAATACATGTAATAAAAATTTAAAACTCAACAACCCTAAATTGCCCCACACTCCTTTTCAGCTATTACTCAAAATTTGCTGCTTCCCACCAAAGCAAAACTGCCCACTCCTCACTGCAAACTGGGCTCTTTCTGGTCAGACGCTTCAGGTGCCTTTACATTGGGGAAAGAGAGATGGCTCAGCAGTTACAAGCATTGGCTGCTCTTCCAAAGGACCTGGGTTAAATTTCCAGCATCCACACCGTAGTTCACAAATATCTATAAACTTCAATTCCAGGGAAACGACACCTTCATACAGACTCACATGCAGACAAAACACCAAAGCACATAAATAGCTAAAAAAACAAAAACAAGCTGGGTGATTAGTCCCAGTTCTCGGGACAGGGATCTCTGTGAGTTCGAGACCAGCCTGGTCTACAAGAGCTAGTTCCAGTACAGGCTCCAAAGCCACAGAGAAACCCTGTCTCGAACCACCCACCCCACACACAAAAAAAATCCCCACAAAAACAACAAAATCCAGTCCACAGAGCTAGTTCCAGGACAGCTAAGATGTTACACAGAGAAACCCTGCCTCGAAAAAAAAAAACAAAACAAAAAACAAAGAAACAAACAAAAAATCAACAAAAGCCAAATCCAGTGTATTAATATATAGCTATTAAAAAAAAAAAACAAAACCCGAGAAGTTTTGTTACTGGCTTTTTTGCTTTGAGACAGAGTTTCATTATATAGCCCAGATGACCTGGAATGTTGCATGCAGACCTGGCTGGCCTTGAACTGTACCCATCCTCTAGCTTCTGCCTCTCAAGTGCTGGAATCAAAGCTTTGAGTTACCACTGCTAGGACAGCCTCTGAGACGGTCCAACAGGAAATGACAGCATCCTTAGGAAGCAACCCTAATTCCCTGCTTACAAATATTAATTTCAACAGAAAATGGAATCTTTGTTGTAAAAATTATACAACATTTACAGACTTGTGAACACCCATGTGTAACACATCTATCTGATCATTCAAATGAAATTTCCAGGAAGATGTGACTTACCAAATACTCTTCTGTGCCGTACAGAGACACAAACTGCTCGTCATCCTCCAGCTCTCTGGCGGCACCGAAGTCTGTGAGCTTGTACACGGACTGCCCATCTTCCCCTATGACGCGCATGATGTTGCCCGGCTTGATGTCACGGTGCACTATGCCATTCTCTCGGAGATGATTCATCCCACCCACTGCAACAGGAAACACACAGCACTGAGAGGGTTAGTCTGAGCGGTGGTTACCACATGTTTGGAGAATTAAGGAAGAAAGTCTGTTTCTTCTTTGTATTTTGATAAAATCTTCTGCCATTTTCCCCTTTTTGGCTGGAGTATTTAAGAATGTTGAAGAATAAATTTGGGGCATCCAGTATTCAATGGATTGCCCTCCTGACTCTAAAAACTAAAGTAAACACAAAACACAGGAAATCATGATGGGGACCTCTGTGTGTACACACATCTCAAATTCATGGATATGATACATTCATATTCACTCCAACTTAAGTTCAAGTTGGCTCAATGTCCTTTTATTCTAAGAAACAGATCCCTCCCCTCTACAAACACCCACATGCACGCACACATACACACTCCATGCACAAGTGTGCATGTGTACAGTCTCAAGTTTCAACCATAAGGAGGTTTAGATAACAACTATGACCTACTGAAGTCGGCTGTCTGCGGAACTATTAGGCGAACGGAGCAAGGGGCTTGAGGTGATGACTTCCTGAACTACTTTTGGTAATACAGACAGAATAACAAAGATCCAAATGTTTTATATGTTGTTGTTGTTGTTGTTGTTGTTGTTGTTTGGAGGCAGGGTCTCCCTGTCTAACAGCCCTCACTGTTTTGGAACCTGTTATAGAGCAGGCTGGCTTTGAACTCACAGAGACCTGAGTGCTGGGATTAAAGGTATGCCATGTCCAGTTCCTGTTTTATGGTTATTTCACTTTGGGAAAAAAAAAAAGTCACAAAAAATGAACTGGCTTCAACACACAAATCGGTAAAGAAGTAGCAAAAGGAGGGCACACTGTGGCCCTTGTTTCCATGGAGACGTGTTTATGATTAGTGCCAGTCAGCTTGTGTTTGTACAGGCAAAGGCACTGACACTGTTGGACATAAGACATTAACACTGTGAGGCTGGCAGGCAGGTCATGAGATGAGATTAAGGCACATGCTATATCCTGGCCTCCTCACCACATCTGACTCACTTCTTTCCAAGAGGGCATTACTTCACTTGTCTTTTAAAAAATAACAGGATAATTGAAACATGTATATGTATGTATATGTGTGTGTATGTGTGTGTATTTCTTATGACTTTTCACTTTTAAAAAGCATACCATTCAATAATGTATTTTTAATAGAGTTGTACGACTCTCATCATCAACACCACAACAGTTTTATTATCCTGCAAATGAAAACTCTTTTTCTACCTGCTCAAAGCAGCTCTGTGGCCACTAGCAGACACTCTCAAATTCTGTCCTCTAAGACAGGCAGTCAGTCACTGCCTCTTTGTCCTATGGACTGACTCTGTACATTTCTGTGAGTGGCATTATATGACACTACGATCTTTTGTCTCTTGCTTCTTTCCTTTTATATTCTTTCAAGATTCACCCACATTTTAGCACGTGTCAAGATTTCATTTTTACTTTTCAATTAAGAAACATATTTATTGTTTTGTATGTGTGTGTCCTAGTTAGGATCTCTATTGCTGTGAAGAGACACCATGACCACAGCCAGCTCTTACAAAGGAAACTTTATAAGTTTAATTGGGCTGGTTTGCTTACAGTTCAGAGGTTCAGTCCATTATCATCACGGTGGGGGGCATGGCAGCATGCAGGCAGATGTGACACTGGCTACATCTTGATCAGAAGGCAACAGGAAGTAGACTGTGACAATGAGAGAAACTCAAGCAAGCGAGACCTGAGAACCTCCACAGTGACACACTTCCTTCAACAAGGCCACACCTCCCTATAGTGCCAACCCTACAAGCTTATGGGAGCCAATTACATTCACACTACCACATTCTACTCCCTGGCCCCCTTAAACTTTTAACAATATCATATTACAAAATGCATTTAGTCCAACATCAAAAGTCCATATAGTCTATCACAGTCTCAACAATGTTGAAAAGCACAAAGTTCAAAGTCTCTTCTGTGATTCATGCAATTTTTTTGTTTTGTTTTGTTTTGTTTTTTGTTTTTCGAGACAGGGTTTCTCTGTGTAGCTTTGGAGCCTATCCTGGCACTCGCTCTGGAGACCAGGCTGGTCTCGAACTCACAGAGATCTGCCTGCCTCTGCCTCCCGAGTGCTAGGATTAAAGGTGTGCACCACCAATACCATGCAATCTCTTAAGTGTACTCCACTATAAAATCAAAGTCAGCTCATGGGCACCAGTTATATGCAAACTACCACAGTAGGTGTGGTTGGTTTTTGCCAACTTGACACAAACTGGCAACACATGGGAAGAGGAAGCCTCACCTGGTAAATGTCTCCATCAGACTGACCTTTAGCCATGTCTGTGGTATTTTCTGATTGTTGAGTGATGTGGAAGGACACAGGTCACTTTGGACAGTGCCACCCTGGGGCAGGTGGCCCTGGGAAGTATAAGCAAAGTAACAGAAACTGAGCCTGAGAGCAAGCCAGTCTGCAGTGTTCCTCTAAGGTCTGTGCTTCAGTTCCCAACTTGACTTCCCTCAATGATGGCCTGGGACAGGAAGTATAAGCCAAACAAACCCTTTCCTCACCAGGCCACTTCTTGTCATGTTTATGACAGCAACAAAAATCAAACTAGAACAGTAAGCATGTGGTGTGTGTGTGTGTGTGTGTGTGTGTGTGTGTGTGTGTGTGTGTGTGTGTGTGTGTGTGAGAGACAGAGAGCTAGAGAGAGACAGAGAGACATTGTGCTGTGGGTTTTTTTTTTTTTGGGGGGGGGGACCATAGGATCTCATGTAATGGAGGCTTGTCTTAAACTTGACCTGTAACCTTGTACTCCTGACCTTCTATCTCTACCTCCCAAATGCTGGGAATACAGACTTGCCCCATCACATGTGGCTTCATTCCTTTTCATGAATGAGTAATATTCCATTATATGGATATACAACATCTTAATCCATTTGTCAGTTGATGGGTATTTGTATTGTTTAGATTTTATTTAATGGCTATTATGAATAATGCTACAACAAACAAAGATGTGTAAAATTTTATGTGGATGTGTTTTTAATTCTTTGGGTATGCCTGTTGGAATTGCCACAAGCATGCAGCTATTTTATATTAGTCTTTTGTAGAGCTGTTGGACTATTTCCTAAGGGTTGTATCCCTTTACATGCACAGCAGTGCATGACAGGCTCTACTCTCCACTTTCCAATGTCTGTTATTGTTATTTGGATTTGCTCATCCTCATGGTAAGAAGAGCCTTCTCATTACAAATTTCTTAGTGATTAATAATGTTGATCACTGTTTAATGCACTCGTTGGCCATCTGTCTATCCTTTCTTTTTGACAAGTATCTGGTCAAATCCTTTGACAAATCTTAAAACTGTTTTTGATAGGGTGTCTGGACAAGGCATCTTACATGTGATCTACAAACACTCTTGTGGCCTATGGGCTCTTTTTTCAGTTACCATCTCAAATAAGCGGTGGCTTTTAAAATTGTATTTATTTCATGTATGGGTATTTTGCCTGCATGCATTATCTGTGCACTAAATGCATACCTGGTGCCTGTGGAGGCCAGGACAGGGTACTAGATTCTCCGGCACTGGAGTTACAGATAGGTAGATGCCTGTGAGCTGCTGGGAACTGAACCTGGGTCCTCTATAAGAACAGCCAGCGATCTTAGCAGCTGAGCTCTCTCTCCAGTCCTGAAGAAAGTTTTAATGCTGATAAAGGCCAATTTATCTAACTTTTTTTAGGCACTTGTGCTTTTGGTGTGGTTCTTAAGAAAACACTGCATTAAAGTTTTTTTTGTTTTGAATATAGGAAATCAACTTTTCATTCTATATCTTTAAATAATATATGTAACCATATAAATGAACACATATAAAACCATATAAATAAACATACCCACATCTCGTAAAACGATTAAAAATTCTGATTCCGGTAGTCCATAGGCATTGGATGGCTCCTCTAAAACAGTGTATAAACTCCCACAGGGACAAAATTCCATAATAAGTACTTTATGCCTTGTTGTTGTCTGGAAAAAAAAGTTACTGATTGAGAATCAATGGGAAAAACATGAAAGCAAATCTGTTTACAGGGCAGCACTTGCCTGCCTGACCTCATTCAAATGCAGAATCTGCTGTAATGACAAAGTTACTTTGCCTCCAGTACTGATAAATGCTATGCTTATATAATAAACAGCTTCCAGTTTCTACTAAATGAAGTGGAGGGCTGGAGAGAGAGTTCAGCAATTACAAGCACTTGCTGCTCTTCCAGAGGAACTGAGTTCAGCTCCCAGTACCCACACTGGGTGATTCCAGGTCCAGGGCTTCCACCACTGTCTTTTGTTCTCCCCAGGCACTGGAGCACATGTGAGCATACACACACAAATGAAAAGAAAAAAGAAATCTTAATATATAGGTATATTATATATAAACTAAAGTGGAGTTTGTTTAGAAGACAAATCAATGAAAACTAAATATGAACCACAAGATCATGGTTATACTGTTTTTGTTTAAATCATCTAGTTTCGTATGAATAACAATATACTTAGGAAAATCTCCTTTTTATGATAAGTACTTTAACTTCAAGGAATGGAGTCCTAGCCTTCAAAAGCAATGGGTGAGCTGGAGAGATGGCTCAGTGGTTAAGAGCATATACTGCTCCTCCGGAGGGCCTGAATTCAGTTTCCATCCCCCCTGTCAGGCAGCTCACACCTGCCTTCAATGTCTGCTCCAGGGAATCTGATGCTGCCTTCTGGCTTGCAAGGGTACCTGCACCAATAACGTATACATATGCACATAGCCAAAAATAAAAATAAAAACAAAATCTAAGGGGGCTGGTGTCTGAGTGAGGGCAGTGTTGTGGACTATGCTTTCTGCACTTGACAATCCCTTCAGAGGTAGGGACTTCCAGCTGCGGCAGTTGGGAAGGCTACTCTCTTCTTTTGTTGCTAGTTTTGTTTTCTGAGACAATGTCAGACACTACTCTGCAGCCTAGGATGGTTTGACTTTTTCAGAAATTCTTCTGCCCCAGTGTCCCAAGTGCCGAGATTACAGACATACACCCTATGCCTGGCTAAGATTACAGATGTGAACACTATGCCTGGCTTTGTGCTGAGGGCTTGGAATTGGGGATTTCTGAGCTGACACCATTCCCTTCACTAGCTACCATACATTTTCACTTATTAGACTTTCCAATCAGTTTTTATATATTAGGATATCATTTCACATTTTAATGCATGAAACTATAATTTACTCTTGATCAACCCTAAGAAACCATTAAGAATGAACTGTAAGGAATATACAGTGCAATATTTTAAGAAAAGATCTTTGTTGAATATTCATATCTAAAAGCAAAGATTGCCACTTCATTTTAGAATATTTCTACTTAATGATATTCCTAAAATCAATTCTTTTATAATTGAGACTTTAATCTCTAAATTACTATGAGCTTTACTCATTTTCTATCAAGCCAGGCATTGGTGGCACACGCCTTTAATCCCAGCACTCGGGAGGCAGAGGCAAGTGGATCTCTGTGAGTTCGAGGCCAGTCTGGTCTACAAGAGCTAGTTCTAGGATAGCCTCCAAAGCCACGGAGGAACTCTGTTTCGAACCCCCCCCCCAAAAAAAAATCAAAACCAAACAAACAAAAAACAAAGGTTTCTTTCTTTCTTTTTTTTTCCCCGAGACAGGGTTTCTCTGTGTAGCTTTGGAGACTGTCCTAGAACTAGCTCTTGTAGACTACACTGGCCTCAAACTCACAGAGATCCACCTGCCTCTGCCTCCCGAGTGCTGGGATTAAAGGCGTGCGCCACCAACGCCCGGCAAAACAAAGGTTTCTATCAGTGTCCTTTTCTTTTGTTGTAAAACATTTTATTCTTATTTATGGGTATGTGTGTTTGGGTACCCACAAAGACCATCAGAGCCTATGGGATCTCCTAAAGCTGGGGTCACAGGTGGTTGTGAGCTCCTGCTGTGGATGGGTGCTAGGAACTGAACCCTGGTCCTCTGGAAGAGCAGCAAGTTCTCTTAACTGCTGAACCATCTCCAGCTCTTTATACAATTAGATGAATTTTACTTGTGAGTTTTTCTCTTCTTTTTCTTTTTTCATATACGACTGACCAGATTTTACATATCTCCTCTTTATACCCTTTCTCTGCGACGTTGTTTCTATTCTCTATCTACTGAAATGCTGGGGATAGAACTCTCGGTTATGTAGTGTTTGTAACCCCTTTTGCTAGCTCCTGCTTTCTGAATGGGAACTACCACAACACAATGGAGAGCTCGGATCCTTACCTCCTCTTCAATAGCAAATAATTTGACAATATTTTTGTGATTGAGTTTTTTTAACACTTCAAACTCTCTCATTTGAACATCCACTGGGCGAAGGAAGCTTATGTTATTAAATACTTTGACAGCATATAAATCACCAGTTTTCTGAAAGATAAAAGAGGGGAAGGAGTTAGTCAGTAACATGATATAGCAATCTGTATTTGCAATGCACCATGCACCCTTCAGACCAAGCTCTGGGATCAGAGCTCCCAAACACACAAAAAGGTAAACAATCAGGAAGTTCCCCAAGGTCGCTGTTTTTGACATTACAAATAGAACTTACAAATGGTACACTAGTGGCAGAGATAGTCATTCACATAGCAAAAGGTAGCAGCCCTAGTGTCAAAAGGGAACTTCTGGAGAAGAAAATGAAAGTGAAACTCCAAGGATTTCCCTGAGCCAAACATTTGCAAATCAGAACAAAAAGATGAGAAATTACATTCTACCTACAAAAATTTTTATCAACATTATCAAAGCAACTACCTATGATGTGTGTGTTGGTAAGCAGGAGTCTGAGAATAGGGGTCAGAGTGGACTTCCTGGCTCCTGGACTATGCCATGGAAGGGCAAAGTGGACTTCCTAGATGGATCATGCCACTGCTGCCCCAACATGCCTAGATGCCGGAGTGGGAAGGTTTGCTCCTTCATCAGTGACGAAGTCTCAAGCATCCACTGACATGCTACAGTAGCCCTCTAGCCCTCTGCCCAGTGTTACATGCACTATCACAACACACAACTACAGCTTTTTAGCAGTATAAAATCAACCTTGCTCTAAACTCATCCAGGTCTGCCCACTTACTTTCAGTCCCTGGAACCAGCAAGCTTCTCCCTGGTGGCAATATGGGCCTTTTTTGCATTCAGCCTCACTTTCTCCTTATTTGTTCAATGTTGAATTTCCTCAAAGCCAGTTCTTCTTGGGGTTCAAGCATGGCCTGCTTAAGGACACCCTAGGACTCTGACTAGGACCTCTCCTTTGAACCATGCTTCATCTTTCCATAGATACAGTGGTCTTTAAAAACTATTTTGCTGTTGTTAATAATCCCACCTCTCAATACTAATATTTGAACCAACTCTAAATGACCCCTACTGCCCAAGTCACATTAATTACATAGAAATGTATATTCCCTTGGAATTGTCTCAGGCTCAGTCTAACAGATATTTTTCCCCTTAAAAAAAAATTCCATTACATGTATTTATCTTACTGTGTGTGTGTGTGTGTGTGTGTGTGTGTGTGTGTGTGTGAGTGATGGGTATGGGCACATGGGTAGAGGTCAGAGGGCAGTGTACAGTGGCCAGTTTCTCTTTCCACCATGTGTGACCTGAGAATCACACTTAAGTTGTTACAAGTCGACTGCCTTGACCACTGAGCCATCTGCCAGTTCAAATGGGAGGTTTCTCATAGAGGATGGAGAAGTGGCAACAATATAACATGGCAACGCACCCCGGGTAATAATCAGGGTCCGAATTTCGGGAGAGTTTGGGAATCTATCATACCTGGGAGGTAACTGGACTATGGGAACGCACCATTTCCATGTAGTCACCTGCACAGTCATCCGTTGCCACAAGTCAAAGTCATATGAATTATAAAGACATGCAATTAGCACATCCTTCCTTCAAGTCACTTCTCTTCACCTTGACCATGGTTATCATGCCCACACATTCCATCCAACGAAACAGTAGCTAATGACCACTTTAATAAGGAAGACTAGGTTAAGGAGCAGTGAGAGGGCTCAGTGGATAAAAGCACTTGTTGTACATGGAGTCGGGCCTAGGCGCGGCCCAGGATGATGTTGAGGAATTTAGGGGACCCCCCCTCCTGTGGAGGGCCCTACCCTCCATGGGGAGCGGAGGGGAGAGGGAGGGGGGATTGATATGTGAAGCAAGCTTGTTCCTAATTTGAACTAATAAAAAAATTAAAATTACAATTTAAACTAATTCCAAAAAAAAAAAAAGCACTTGTCATGCAAGCCTGATGACCTGCATTCCATCCCCAGGAAAACAGAGGAGAGAACTGACTCCCAAAAGTCACCCTCTGACCTCCAACATGTATGCTATGGTAGTGTGCCTGCACACATATACTAATAAATAAAACTGTCTGAAAGATTAAATAAATGCTATATTTTTAATAACAGTACACTTAAGAACATGGTGTCCTAAGCAGTACACAAAGGGTGAATATCATGATCAAATAGATTTTAAACAATCAAAGGGGAAGCAGGACTCTGGTTTTTTTTTTTTAAAGATTTATTTTTATTTTACCTTATTATTATTATATTTATTTTATGTACGTGGGCATTTTGCCTGTATGTATGTCTGTTCACTGTGTGTTTGCTGGTGTCTTTGAAGGGCAGGAGAAAGCATGTCTTCTGTAACTGGGTATAGACCACGGTGAACTGCCTTGTGGACACTGGTAATCAAACCTGGGCCCTCTGTGAGAGCTCCAGGACCCTCTAACCATGGGTATCTGAGTGTCAATGTGCAGGTATGTAAACATTGAGTGCGGGCACTTGTAGAGCTGGAGTTATAGGCAGTTGTGAGCCAGCTCACATGGGTGCTGGAATCAGGTCTTCTGCAAGAGCAGTGTATGTGTGCACTTCACCCTGAGCCATCTCTCCACCCCACAGCCTGCTTTTTTAGTATAGTCTTAAATGCTTGAGTTGACACTGATGTCACTAAGAACAATCATAGCTTCTGGAAATACATTTCTGGAGAGCAACTAGTCTTAAGCACACACCTGGCCTAGCTCTGACCAAATGGATACCTTTTCTCCCTCGATGTGAACTTTGGGACTTTCCCAGGATGACAAAGGCCTATGCAAAAACTGGTTCAGGAAACCAGGAAAACTGTGGCACTTATGAATCAAGACTCTGCACATGGCATTGTGTTTTGGAAGCCTCATTCAAGCTGTTCTGAGCATATGGTAATCAACTGGCTAAAGTGTTAACACAGAAAAAAATAAAATTGCCCTGGGTGTTAGGAAGGTACTTCAATTCCTTGAAGCTAGGGTCCTCTGCAGCTGCAAGGGCTAAATTCATTCTTACACTGTCTCTGATTTTTTTTTTTTTCTATTGACCTTCGTGAACCCACACCCACACTGAGACTTCCATGACACTGGATCATAGGAACCTCTTTGGTCCATTCTTATCCTCCTCAAAATCTGTTATTTTTGGTTTCTACGATATATGTTTAAAAGCACATTTTTGTTTTTAATAAAAAGAACTTCATGTTGCCTTGAAGTATCCAAACTGATCTTATCCATCCATTCTTTCATTCAGTGAACACTTCAGAGGATCTACCATGTCTAGGCACCTACACGAAGGATACGGTGTACCTAAGTAGGGAACAGGACCAGAAGACATAAACTATCCAGTAGTGCCAGCTCTTTAAACACATGTCAACCAAGTTATCACTACTATTATTTAGTTTCCAACTTATATCCTTCCTGAAAGCACCTCCATACAGAAATCAAACTTGTCCTATGTAGGGATTGCTCATTAGTTATACTTTAACAACTTCAGGCCTACCATAGTGCCTGATACAAAGTAACAATTACAGTAATTTCAAACAAAGGAAGACACAAGGTCAGATGTGCTTTCAACATTAAATTCTGTTATTCTCTTCTTAGCACACAACAAACAAAAAACAATTTCTAGCAAAGAACTATCCAGGCATGAACAAAGTGAACTTAAATAAGAACCCAGAGCCCCTGCACAGTTCCAGAGTCAAGAGGAAACGGCTAAAAGCCATCATGTGACTTTTATGATTCATTTTTTATGAGCCATATAGCTGTTTATAACCATGTTCTCTCTCCAGAGGACAGCCCCTCACCCATGCATGCTTGTCTCAATGACAATCTCAAAGCTACCGAACAGAAGAGCCCTTCCTCCTAAATCGTTCAGAGTTCCTAGGTCTGAAAATAAGAATTACAAGGCTCCAAACATCACTTACCCTAAAACACATTCAAAGTGCCTCCAAAACCAGGCATTTGACCTATAAAAGGAATTCCCACTCTATTATTTTTCCAGCTTGCTTCACATTTATTCAGTGTCTTTGTTTGGGTTGCTCACCTGCTGTTGGGATCACTCCTTTTAATCCCACTCCCACTCCTACTAGGTTCAGATGGCCTCACAGTAGGACACAGCCTGCTAACTCTGCTTTCCATGTTGAGACTCCTTTTTCACTCCAACCTACCTTGTAGGATGCTATTTTAGAGACAGAGTGAGCCCTTGGCTGAGCAGATGAGAATCACTTGTGGGCATCTGCCTGCCTACCATGCCTCCCTCCACCATACATCACCATCGGAAAGTTAAGCAGGAAGGCAGGAAACACTTTCCAATGAACTTCCAGGTTTTTTTTTTTTTTCCCCAATTCCATAAACTCACAGACTCTAGCACTACTGGATAGATGGGTTCACTGCCCCCAAACAAACTAAACCTTAAATAATCACAAAAATTGTAAAACCCTTTTTCTTTAGACAACCCCCGCCCCCCCAAAAAAAATCAAAATGTAAGTGCACTTGTCAGAAGAAAATAAAGTGACAGAAAGAGTGACAGCATGGTACCTACCTTATGTCTTCCTCGAAAGACATTTGCAGTGGCCCCCTGGCCTAAGATATCAGACAAGAGCCACAGATGGTTGGAAGTACTCTGCATCTCGGCTTGCTCGGGCGCTTCTCCTCACGATGAGGGGAAAGAAGAGATTTGCATGTATGCTGTTCAGGAAATAACACAGCCAAGAAACAAATGTTATTAGCCACATTCAGTCTGAAGTGGGACTACTCATTATTTACTGGCAATTGGACACGCATAAGCAGTCCAGTGTTAAAAATATGTTTCTAGGGGCTGGAGAGATGGCTCAGCAGTTAAGAGCACTGACTGCTCTTCCAGAGGTCCTGAGTTCAATTCCCGGCAACCACATGATGGCTCGCAATCACCATGAATGAGATCTGGTACCCTCTGCTGGCATGCAGGCAGAAGACTGTACATAATAAATAAATAAAATCTTTAAAAAAAAAAGCAATTATAATTGAAACACTTTCATGGTAGCACTTAGGAAGGGCTCCAATTCGGCAGCAAGCACAGCAGCTAAATTTCAAGTCCAGGCTTAACAAAACACAGCAATAGGGCTTTAAGTGATTTGGGAGGGGCAGTGAAAGACAATGGAAATACCTCAGAAAATCTAAAAAAAATCTAAAAAAAAGAATATGTTTCTAATAATATTATAGGATAAAATGCTATGTGGACATTATAGGGAAAACCCTCAATGTTAAACCACTGACACAGATTCAATTGTTTTTGATATGCTTTGGAGGTAGTGTTTTACAGTATTTCCCAGCCTAGCCTGGAGCTCTGTATATAACCCAGCCTTTTTTTTTTTTTTTTTTTTTGCCTTGGCCTCTGGAATGATGGAATTACAGGTGTACCTGGATTCTCTGTGAATGAGTGTATGACTCTGTAGGTGTGATTCTGGAGGAGGTAGGAGGGTGTTGGACCCCTAGGAGCTGGAGTTAGAGGCAGCTGTAACCCACTTGCTGTGGGTGCTGGGAGCTCAACTCCCATCCTCTGCAAGAGCAGCAAGTGCTCTTCAACACTGAGCCATCCATCTCTGCACAATAGTTCCATAACGCAAACTTTCATCTACAGAAAAACTGTAATTGAGAAGTACAGGACTTATTATTCCTGAAAAGTCAATAACTGCTGTAATGGTGTTTAAGGATAGGTTCCTGGCCCAGCGAAATGGCTCAGTGGGCAAAGGCGCTTGCTACCAAATGTGGCAACTGAAGTTCAGTCCCTGGAACCCATGTGGCAGAAGACATTAATAGACCATCTGTCCCACAACACGCAAGAGTCCCATCACACAATAAATAAAATTAAATTAAAAAACATTAAATAAAAATAAATAAAAATTAAAATAAAAAACATTAAAAAGTTTCCCTAACTTCTAAACAGACAAAGATACACATACCAAGTACATATTACCAAGTCTTAAGAGGCAACAATGACAGACTTGTCCTTTTAACATGGGAAAGTGGAGCAAGTGAAAGAATGGCACAATTGCTAGACACATCAGACTCCTACAGTCTGCTCTAAGTTCAGAACACAAAAATGACCTTACAGTCCTAAGTTAGAACTCCAGTCAAGTGGCCAAGGGTCCAAGTTTCACTAATCTCTTATACACTAGCTGTCTTTATAATTTTATCATCAATGTAATTTAGATAAGCAATTGCCCATCCAATCTATTTGAAGTAAGCAATAATAACACTCACTGGCCAGATGTCCTCTGTGTGTGTGTGGGAGAGAGTACTTTTCATAAGTAGTGAATGCATTTACCAGTTACTGCATTTCATTCAAGTGGCAGTAAACCCAAATATGTAGTGGGAAACCTTCCCTAGCTGATGTTACATTGCTGTCAGATAACTGAAAGACAACAGTATCACCAAGCACTTACTTATATCTGGTGGATAATGAAAACACTCTTAGCTGGGATACCTGCTCTCTATATCCCAATATAAAAAGATGGGCCCACCAGTGATGGTTTGAAACTTTGTTCCAATAACCCCCTCATGACTAAAACATGACTCAGCACACCCACCAGATGCTTGCTATCAAGTCTCCATAAATTTTGACAAGCGTATAAACTGGCATTCAACAAGTACATTATTGGTGACGCCGTCGTCAGTCTACTTCCTTTAATTGTTTAAAACGAAAGTTACCGAGGATAAAACAGGTTTGGTGGCATGGGGTACGGACAAAGTTCCAGGATTTCCAAACTCTACCTCATTTATTCGACAGACAGTAGCGGTTCCGGAGTGGAAAAGGATCGGGTTTTGATTATGCATTTGACAGAACCTGTCTTGGGACGACTGACAGAAAATATCAGGGAAACGGATTAGGCGAAGAAATCCCAAAGCTTGGTCAAAGAGGAACTAGAAAACATGGGAATTTGCATCTTTTTTTTGCTTGTGCACATCAAGAAAAAACCCGTCTCGTCTTGTACTGGCAGCCTCGGGTGAGTCAACCTTTGAGAACGCCTGTCCAGTCGCCAGTCCATTTAAAACATGGTGTCTGCTGGGCCAAGGGTGCGAGAGGCGAGTCAAC